TTTATGACTTTATTCCCGTAATATTATGATTTTCATCTGGTAATATCCCTTTATTTACTTAATATTACGAATTTACAACGTTATCTCTTTATTATCGTAATGCAATGACTTTATTCTCAGAATTCTATCAATTTTTCTCATTATATTACAACCTGTCAAAAACAATAAAAATGTTTCGTCTGGCTCTAATACTTCATAATTTCGAGCATCGAATGTGCAATAAATAAATAAATATACTTTAAATAGTTTTGCAATGTGCTGAATGCAGGTTTGTGGTTTTAGCAGTTGCGTTAATAGTCCAGCAGAGGGAGACAAAGAGACAAGAGGCGACGCCCACTACTGTTGTCTAGCAACAAACGTCATCGGGCCTTATCCAGGAAGTAAAAAAACATCAACAATCCTTCCAGGTTGGGCGAAGTATCGGGTAGCCTTTAGCTGGGTGGCCTTTCAGGAGCCTGCGTTTCTCCTAAGCTCTGTTTTATTTTTTCGCATTTTTAAGCGAGAGCTCCTTTGTAGCCCAGACATGTCGTTGTTCGGCAAGATATTTGGAGGAGGAGGAAAAGGGGGAAAGGGACCGAGTCCACAGGAGGCGATCCAGAAACTCCGTGAAACGGAGGAGATGCTAACGAAGAAACAGGAATTTTTAGAGAAAAAAATCGAACAGGAGCTGCAGATTGCCAAGAAAAACGGCACAAAAAACAAAAGAGGTGAGAAATAAAGTGGGTCTGTTTCCCCTAGTGTCTTATCTTCGGTGGTCAGAGGTCAGGTCAGCCACCAACCAACCAAACGTTAGCCAGCGCATTAGCATGATGGGCTAACTTTCCGAGCTGTTGGCAGGCTCCATCCTCTATGGGCGACACCCAGGAAAGCTGCTTAAATCACACACTTATAAATATATATTTTTACTCATTTTAATTCCAAGTAAATTATTTTTGGCACATTAACGTCTGTTTAACGTGTTTCTCAGCATTTATCTAGCATGATCTTTGCGATGATCTGATGATTGGATACTTAGAAGCCGGAAGAAATAATTAAAGGTCCTCCTTTACTGATTGATTGCCAAGATAGCAACACAAAGTGTGAGGATAAAGGTTAGGAGCTGTCAGAGAGGTGGGCGTGTTTCCACCTGAGTCTAATGCTAAAGGCTCTTTAATTTTCACTAAGCTTAATCCTACAAAAATCTGACAGATTTGTTATAAATTAGTAGTAATGTTTGTGTCATTATGTACCATATTTTCATATCTTCTAAGATGAAAAATCAGTAAAACAAATTAGAAGTGCAACGATAAGACTTTTTTGTGGGTGATCAGACGATCCCATTCCTGTTTATATGTTTCTGACCTGAATCTTTATTCCAAGAAGTTCCTTCTTAGTTTTAAATGCTTTTATCAGACTGGATAGCAAATATGCTCCTTTTAGCATTTAAAGTTAATCTAGAGAAAACATCTTTCTGATCAATTGGTTCTGAATTTGAACTGAACTGAATAAAATTCTATATATATATATATATATATATATATATATATATATATATATATATATATATATATAATAGAGCTGAAACGATTAATTTGATTCATTGACATATCCATCCATCCAGCAGGGTGGATGCAGGGTCGTGGGGGGTGCTGTTTCTATCTCCAGCTGTCTACTGGCGAGAGGTCGCCAGACCATAGCAGGGCAACATTGATCTGATGATTAAATGAGTGACGATTATCTCAATAATCGTCACTAATTTAGTAATCGATTAATCGTTAACTGGAGTTTAGAGACTCTAAAACATGCCTTTAGCTGGCAGAGTAACATACTTGGAGCAGTAATTGTATCAAAATTGTAAAAAAAATATATATATATATATATGAACATTTTGCATTTAGGATAAAAAAAGAGTAATTTGATAGTCAATATGCTCAATCCACAACAACTAAAGTGTAAAAGTTTAGTTACACCTGCTTTAATTTGGTAAAAAATGTGCTTTGTGGAACCTTTGAATATCCGATTATTATTATTAGAAAAAATTATCTGCAGATTAATGGATCTGTAAAGTAATCGTTTGTTGCAGCCCTAAAAAAAAATAAAAAAAATAAAAATATATATCATGACACCTGACCTGACAGTGGAAAGAGCTATAGCATTGGAGGGTTTGTAGTGAATGAAGTGGAAATGCGCTGTGTCAGCATTACGTTCAGCGTTTGGCCTCCATGTTAATTATTTGCGGCTCCAACTTAACAATGGTTGACACACTGACTCAGCCCAGGGTGACGTATGAATGTCATAATGGTGCTCTGTGTGTTTGACTTATGTGGCTGAGAACATAATATTCTCCAGTTTGTCTTTTTTTTTTTTTTTTCTTTTTTTTTTACAACACCTTGCTCATCTTAGTAACAGCCATCTTTGTAAGATCCAGAGTCATCCAGGTTAGGTTAATCCTAAGAGTTTGGGTCTGAAGGTAACTTGTAGAGCTTGGCCTCCAGGATGGGCTGGGGTGAGATTCTTATGACAGTGTTGAAGGAAAACACCACAGCTCTGCTGTATTTACCCAACAAATTAAAACAAAAATGATGACATGAAGTCCATTACATTGGTTTTAAAACCTGCACTGTAGCAAAAATCTTAATTGCGTAACAGATATGGCTTTCTTGTTGCCTAGTGTACTTTGAAAATTGTTATTTATCATTAAAAACGGAGTAAGTTGCTATCCTTTAGCTTTCACGCCAAGACTGTAATTGGATATATATTGCAAAATGGTCACTTTTTTTTACTTCTCTTTATAAATAGGGATATTTCAGCCCGTTGATCACCGGTGTGCAGTAACAGATGCAGGAAGGGAGAAAAGATACATAAGCATCTTCCCACAGTCAGACTCTTAAAAAATATTTTAACACATAATTCTAAGAAATGGGCCTAATCAGGTTATAGGTTTAAGACATCCCAAGTAGAACAACGATGTTTGATGTATGAAGCATCTAATGATGTCATCATCCTGATGAGCTCTGGTGTTGTTGACTCACCTGATCATTAGAAATCCACCAAAATCAGAGTAAATACCAGAACATCTCTCACCCTGTGCACTAAACTAAAATCAGCACACAATTCTATTTAATTGATCATTACAAATTATTGATAAAAAAAGACAGTATGTGAGGTGGAGAAGCACAGAAAACCAGGGGTTGTGTGAAACGGTCACTGGGGCTCAATCCACCATCTTGAAAATGTAGAGAGAGGCCATGGCAGTGAGGAAGACTTCCTAAATTAACAACAGGATCTACAAAGAAGTAATGGATGCATCCATTAGTAGATGTGCTTTCTCCTGAATGAAGATCCTATAACTTTAGGGAGATATTGAGTGAATTACTGCTGCAAGCAAAGAACACTTTTTGTAAATTTGTACATTTTTCAGAGGTATTTTACTGTTTTCTCAGATTAGCCTTTTTTTTCTTCTTTTTTTAACTTTTTAAAATTTAATTGGTCAATTAAATTTATGAATTTCTTTTGTTTCACGTTATATTTCACAGACCACATTCTGTCTACTTCTGGGGGCGGGCTTTTCGCAGGGTTGAGGCGCAGAGATGCATTTCTATTGGTCAGCATGAATGTTGGCGACAACATTAATAGTGAAGAGAATGTGAACCGCGAAATGCAATTTAAAAAGTCAAAATCTTTATAAAATCTGGAAAAAAAGAAGAAAAATTGAAGAAATAAAGTTATAAAATTGAAAAAATAAAATCTAAGAAAATAGCAAAGTTACTCTCTAAACCTTGTATTAGTTATAACAAAGTTCAAAGTTTTATTTATGAATTTTATTTTATTTCCATGTAAAAAAAAAAAAGTTTCATTTCTTGCAACAATATTCAAACAAAATTTCCTCCATATAGAAAATGCACCAGTGAAAATAGAAAAACCTAAAGAAATAATCATTTGGCACCATGTTGAAAAATATTTAATAATATTTGTTTGTCTATTTGTTGGAGGAAATAGATCATTGTCTTCTCTTAAAATGGTGCTTTTCAAAGAAGAAGACTAAAAGAGAGGTTTCCCTGCCCTTATTTTCATGACAAAAATACTTTGCCTGCATTTTAAAGGTGAGCTTATATCATGTTGGTTAGATTTGACTTCAGGTAGGCAGTTATTGTTTTTTATATTTTTTTTATTATTAATAACCAAGCTTATATGATGTACAACGAGTAAAACTAACAGAAAATAAGAAGGAATATATAATAGAAAATAATGACTACTTGTCAGTTTTTTATAAAACAACAAAACCACAAATAAAAAAATATAAATGTAACTGTTTTACAATTCTGAGATTTATGAATTTATATTTTTTATGTAATCCAATAACTTTGCTCCCTCTAGGGTATGAATGTGGAGAAAGGAAGGCCTAATTCCTCAAAAAGGGAAACACAGGAAGGCGTTATATCCAAGGAAATTATAAATAAGACAGGAAATATATCTGCAATCAGAGGAAATTAATGAAAAATTTAAAAGGAAGTAGAGGTGTTAAACTAAAATAATCCTTTAAGTTTGCTGTTTATAGCAGCTGCTTTCTTACAGATCCTTATCAGTGGTGGCAAGATTTTTTTAAGGTGTATTTTGTTTTATATTCCAAAATATTTAAGAAGCAATTGTTTCATTTCAAGTATTTGATTAATCAGATGCATAACTGTTTCATTAAATGTCTTATTTAAGTTATAAAAGCAAAACTCCACTGGGGATGAATAATTCCCAACAAAAGGTAATAATTTGCAAATGAACCTTCATCCTGATGCCTCATCCTCTTCTTTTTTTGCTCCCAGCCGCCCTGCAGGCTTTGAAAAGAAAGAAGAGGTACGAGAAACAGCTGGCCCAGATCGATGGCACCCTGTCCACCATCGAGTTCCAGAGGGAGGCACTGGAAAACGCCAACACCAACACGGAGGTGCTGAAGAACATGGGCTTTGCTGCCAAGGCCATGAAGTCTGCCCATGAAAATATGTGAGTAAAAACCTCAACATCATAAAATGACTTTAATCCTGTTGAGTTTTGCTCTTTTTTTATATTCGTTTAAATAATTTTCTCCTCTTGTCATCGTTTCAGGGACATTGACAAAGTGGACGACCTCATGCAAGACATTACGGAGCAGCAGGAGCTGGCTCAGGAAATCTCTGACGCCATTTCTAAACCCGTTGGCTTTGGAGAAGAGTTTGATGAGGTGAGTCCAACCCTGGAAAGATGTGAGCCGTTAAACCAAGTCAGTTAATCTGGTAAAGCAGAACTCTTGGTCAGCTTTTTGCTTCGGGTTGAGCTCAACCTCCTTTCTTAAAACTGTTACAGTTTGACTTTTAATCTAAATGTCTTCATTCAGAGTAATTCCACATAGCCAACCGTATTCCGTCCACAGGGCGGCCCTAAGAAAATCCTCTTAAAATTTTAGTCTGACCAAAAGAATCCTGATTTAGTTCTGATTCAGATTTCCCTCTTTCACAATCAGGTTTAGCCACCAACACATGAGATCCTTCCCAGTTTTTTCATCTCTATCTTAGCCGTGTGTAGAGTTGGTTTTAATCTTTGTTGTTGATCCGTCTCTCTGTAAGGATGAGCTGCTGGCAGAGCTGGATGAGCTGGAACAAGAGGAGCTGGACAAAAACCTGCTGGAGATCGGAGGACCAGAGAACGTCCCCCTCCCCAACGTGCCTTCTACTTCATTACCTTCCAGACCTGGTGAGTTTGCTTTTCCACAACGGAGTATTAGGGCCAGGCTAGAGATTTTTAATTTTTATTTTATTTTATTTCGAGAATAAAGTTATAGATTTACCAGAATGAAGTCATCATACCACAACCTGTCTCAGAAAGAAAGCTTTGAACTTCCGATCTGTCGGCTGACAAGCGCCACTTTGACATTCTGCCCAATTTGATGCTGGTGTGCTAAAAGATTTCCTTATTTTTCAAACCTCTGGCAAAGTATAACTTCACATGATGCTGGACATTCCTCATTTTAGGGAAGAAAGTGCTTCTAGTTGTCATAAAACTCAACTTTATTCTTGTAATGTTACAACTTTATTCTCTGAATTTTCTGACTATTCTCATAATGTTACGACTTTATTCTCGTAATGTTACGACTTTATTCTCGTAATGTTACCACTTTATTCTCGTAATGTTACCACTTTATTCTCGTAATGTTACCACTTTATTCTCGTAATCTTACCACTTTAATCTTGTTACGTTTTTAATCTTGTAATGTTAAGACTTTATTCTAGTAATGTAAAAACCTTAATTCTCGTAATTTTACGACTTTATTCTCGTAATGTTACGACCTCATTCTCTTAATTTTCTGACTATTCTTGTAATATTAAGACTTTATTCCTGTAATGTTAAAACCTTAATTCTCGTAATGTTACGACTTTATTCTCAATATGTTTCGACTTCATTCTCTTTATTTTCTGACTATTCTTGTAAGATTGCGACTTTATTATTGTAATGTTACGAGTTTATTCTCGTAACGTTAAAACCTTAATTCTCATAATGTTACGACTTTATTCTCGTTATGTTATGACTTCATTCTCTTAATTTTCTGACTATTCTTGTAATATTACGACCTTATTCTCGTAATGTTACGACTTTATTCTTGTAATGTTAAAACCTTAATTCTTGTAATGTTACGACCTTAATTCTCCTAATTTTATGACTTTATTCTCGTAATTTTAGGAATTAATTCTCGTAATGTTACGACTTTATTCTCGTAATGTTTCAACTTTATTCTCGAAATTAAAAAAAATTATAGCCTGGCCCTACTACAGTGTCGCATTTTTCGCATTTTGTTTATTTTTCATTTTTTTGGAAGGTTCATTTTTTTTGGAAGGTTACAGCATTTCTCTGGTTTTGAACCCAAATGAGAAAATTGTGCCACTTTAAAGGACTAATAATCTAACCTTTCTCAACTTGTATTTATTTCTACTTGCACTGAGTCGTATTTTAAGGAACTGCCCTAGATTTAACCTCTGGGTGTTATTGTTGAGGGGGGAGGGGTGTGTATGCCATGATATGTATATATTTTTTCTTTCTCTTTTGGTGTGTTCCATTAAAATCCCCATAAAGTTGCAAACAGAGCTAATTTTCGCCTCCTGACTCTTATGTCTTTTTTAAAATTTCTTTTCACCTACTAGCCAAGAAAGAAGAAGACGAGGACGACATGGAGGACCTGCAGCGCTGGGCGGAGGCCATGTAAACGCAGCATCCCTTCACATCACACCTGCATCTGAGCGAGGAAAGAGGAAGGAGCAACATATGGAATGAACTGATTGGATGTTGAGTGTTTCTTTTTTGTGTGTCTGAGGAGAGCTGACATTGTGTAACACTACAAAATAGGAAACAATGCTGTACTTTTTTTTCCTCCCTTCTTATTTTCTTCTGTTATCACCCCCAAAAAATGGAACTTTGAGACCCATTGCCTCTTATTGCTAACTTATGAGGGTCTCAGAGTCACCTAGACATTTTTTATCCTTGATTTTTAAACCAACCCATCAATGGTCCCCAAAGCAGGCAGGATCATTTCAATAGAAGTAGCGTTTGTTTCAAGCGACGTGCTGCAGAGATCTGATGATGTTTAGAACATCAGAATTTTCACTAAAGCTAAATCCTTATGGTTCTTGCTCCAAAATATGTATTTGTCTTGTTGATTACCTAAATGTTTTTGTTGTTTTTTTTTTTTCCTTAATTCCTTTATTTACCTTTATTTGTTTCCTAATTGCTCTTTAACCAGAAGCATGCAGAGGGTGAGGATTCTGCAGATTCTGCGTGTGTTTGCAAAAAGCATAACCTCATATTTTGTGTGAAGCTGCAGGGCTCTGACCTTTCTCTTTACCTCCTGTCATTCGTTTTAGCCTCAGAAGGCATCCTCACCAGTGATTCTTGTTATTTGGTGTAAATATCTCAACTGTATCTCTTTTTCATATGAAGTTTTCGAGAGGTTCGGGCTGAATTCGTGCAAAGCATGCAGACATGGGAAGTCACAATACAGATCACTCCGCACGGCTTTTGAAGGGAGAAGCTTAACCCAACAACTCTCATCCTACTCTCTCTGTCCTTATAAGGGTTTTGTTTCAGATTGTATATTGTTAAAAATAATAATAGTTATAATAAACTTTTGTCACAACTTATGAGTTGCATCCAGATGGAAATGGGGATTTCAGATTTCCTATCTGCAATCCACAACAGCTGCAGTTTGGAGACGAAAGGATTCATTTTTGAAGTCACATGTTTTTTTTTTGTTTTTTTTTCATTAAATAGAAAAGAAAATTCAAGGAGAGATGGAGAAAGCATGTCTGCATTTCTATGTTTTATTTATCCAGATGAGAATATTATTTGCAGAATCATTAAAAGTTTACAGATCCTTTACTGTTGTGGAAGCTTTATCTTTATCAAGTGTTTATTGACACTTTTTTATTCTTATTCTCCATCTTTGCAGATGGAGATTATGGCTGTAAATGAGGACCATTAAACAGTTAATAACCCAATGATTTTGAATATACAGATCACTTAAAGCTCTTTACATTTTAAGTCACATTAATTCACCCTTCAATAACAATGAATATTTTTTGTGTGCAACCAGTGAATGTACAATCAACATCTTAATACTAAATACTTGGTGTAGATTAAATCTCTTCCTGTATCAATCAGTCGTTAATATCATTGATAACTGTTTTTTTTTTCTTTTTCAAATGATTTTTTCAAGCTTTTCAAACCAACCTTTGCAGAAAAGTAACATTGGGGCCTTTTTACCCATAACATTATATGGTTTTGTCACCACATTTGAATCACAAGTAGGTCGATTTAATCGATTTTGAATCGATTCCTTTACATTTTTGCAAAATCAATGTCTAGGGAATGAGATCGATTATTTTTATAGTGATGCGCGTGACGGTCACATTCAAATGAGCAGGAAAGATGCAGTCAAGATGACTTCAAGCCAGACAGCTATATATATAGCCAATAGGTTGACTGAAGACATTATCAAATGGGGTCTGACCAGCAAACACCCTGTATAATTGTTACAGACATCGCTGCCAATATGGTTTGTGCAGTGGAGATAATGCAGCTCATGCATGTCTGCTGTGTCCCCGATGTGTCAGGTCTGCTTGCTCGTGTGATGCTTCACTTTTCACAAACAAGTTTGCATTTTTGAGACATTTTTATTCACATCTCAAGTTTAAACTGTCCGATTTACAAGTTTGCACTTTGTGTTTGATATGACAGGAAAAAATAAAATACATGAGTATTTTGAAACAGTTGAACCACTTTCATTGTTGTAAAAACAGATCGAATCGCAATTAATCGATTTAGAACTGAATGAATCAAAATCGAGTTGATTCAGGACTTTGGCGAAAATACCCAGCCCTAATCACAAGTAGGTCTGGACTTTGATTAAATCACTAAACTAGTCTTGCCGGTTTGCTTTGATCACTTCCTCCAGCATTGTAAACCAGTTTGATACATGTGCTGCTAGCAAAAAATAAGAGCTGAATTCCAAAAATACCATTCAGGTTTGTCTCTTTTTTTTTTTTTTTTTTTTTGGGTTTGTTTTAGTCTGTAAATTTTCGGCAGAAATAAAGTTTTTTCCAACATGAAGCAACCACAGTTTAGCTCAGTGTGTTTATATTGGTCCTGCAAAGACCAGTATAAGATCACAGTGGATAAGTGCAGGAAAAGATCTGGAATAAAAAAAATACTGGTTAAAATTATTAAAAATCGGCTATTTTCAGGTATAAATACTAAAATTCACAATGGGTATATAAATAGGCTTTGAATATGACAACCTGCAAAAATTGAGGAATGGATGGACAAATGCAGAGCTTTTAATTAAAGGAATGGTTAATACAGTCTAGAAAAGCCAATATTTTCCATCTGTAAATTGATATGTCATCCTGCCCTTAAATCCCGTTGAGTTTATTTATTTTAAGGAAAAAAAAAAACATGCCACAGCAGAGCATAGACCTTGAAACAATCAAATCCCATGTTTCTAGGGTTCCTGTGCAACGTTTTGATCTTGAACGCTCCCCATCCCCAAGGTTTTTGTCGTGACGTCAGGGTTTGGCGACTTCACGCATGCGCGTAGTTGACCAGCGCTGATGCAAGAAATATCTTGGCGCAGACGTGTGGTAGTGATCGTAGAAGAAGAACCGTTGACTGAATTTTCTTCTATTTCAAGCCGCAAACATGTCAGGAGACGAGGTAAGAAATTCCGGGCTGTTCGGCGTTTTATCCGTGTCGGAGTGGTACCGCCTGGGCAGTTGGATGGATGATTTCTCGGTCCCTAATGATGACTTTGGGCCTTGGGAGTGCAGCTCCCCTCCCTGTCCGTGGCAGCTCTCACATGGCTGTTTCTACCGGGCTAACAGCGGCCCGACCAACCACACACACTGTTAATATTTATTAAAAATAAATTAAGTGGGCAGCTGAACCGAGGTTTATCGCACCGTGGAGATGATTATTATATACTGTAGCTTGTAATTCCGTCTTGTCTTCATAATTGGATTCTTCAAACCAAACCGTTATTGTTAGCTAAGCAGAAACGGCGATGCTAACGGCTTATTTCGATCAACTATACAAATGTAGCTTATTAAGCAATCACTGTATTATTAATACTAATATCATCCTTTGAAAATGTTTCATTCATAAAGCTAAATTCCTTAAAATTAATGTATTTCATAATAGGTTACTGTTGTATCTCATAGCTTAGTGTATGCTAACTGAAGTATATGATATAAAAGCTAAGCTCCAGCCTTGTATTTATTTCAGATTAATTTTAATATATATTTCCTTTGTGATGGTATATATGATTGCATCCTTTATACACTTTAATATTTGTTTTATGCCCTTTTGTTAGTAAATTAACCAAATGTTGCTTTTCTAGCTGTTTTCTGAATGAAATAACAAAACAAATGCAGCTTGTTTTCATGTCTGACGGCAATCTAATATTTTTAAAATAAAACCTTTATTGATGCCAGTACTGTGATGCACTTAAAAAATAAAAAATCACATAATTGAATTTGTTTTTAGAAAGTTTTTTCAGAGGAAAAAAAAATTGAAAACTGCAGTGCATCCAAGGATTCTTCCATCCTTCTGTCTCAATAATTGTCCTGCCATTTTCCATCCATCCATCCATCCATCTGGGTCCACTCATTCACTTGTTACTCTGTTGGAACATTCATCCATTCAACTCCCACATAAATCCTCCCACCTGCCAGTAGACTCTCAGTTTATCTCTTATTCCACAAACTGTCCCAACTTCCTCCTTTTACTCCGCTTCCTGCCTTGTGTTTTTTGCTGTTTCAGTAATTCAAGACTGATCCTATCAGAAAAATCTGCCTTTTATTAATACTTTAAGGGTCAAAAGAACTTTCAATAAAATTAAAGTCTGGAGTATTCAGGAAATTGAAATCAAAAATATATAACCTACCAAGCTTGAACTTTCTTTGAAATCTTTTTTGAATTTATTTTTTGGTTTCCTGTCTCTTTTTAGATGATTTTCGATCCCAACATGACTAAGAAGAAGAAAAAGAAGAAGAAGCCCTTCATGCTGGATGAGGAAGGAGGTGAGGGGGTAGGAGGAGAAGAAGCAAAAGAGGTGGAAGCCAAGGAGGCAGAGCCAGAGATTGGAGAAGACAAGGAGGTGGATTTCGATGAAGATGAAGGCAGAAAAAAGGGTGAGACCGAGAGTCGTTTAACGTTTCCCTTGGTTTTATTTTTATTGCACGTGTGGCTGGATTTTTTACTGTTTGTTTGTCTTTGTAGAACTGTCCGATGATTTGAATGATCTCAACTTCTTCAACCAAAAGAAAAAGAAGAAGAAGAAACCAAAAGTTTTTGGGAATGATGTAGAAGAAGGATTAAAGGTCAGTCATCAATAAACTCCTTTTTCACTTCTGTCTGCACAATTATTCCATTTATTTTTTCCTTTGCACTCCTGCTAAATGACTCTAATCACACCAGGAACTGAAAATCGAGGGAGAGCCCACCGAGGAGCTCGAGGAGGACAGCCTAGATTTGAAGCTCCCTAAGAAGAAGAAGTCAAAGAAAGTCGACTTTGATGAGGGAGAGTCCTTGGAAAAAGATGATGGTACAAATCCTAAAGACCTTCCTTAAGTAGTAAAAGCAGGCGGCCTTTTGTTACAAGGTTTTTATACTATGTTTGCAGCTCAGGAGGATGATGAGGGTAAGAACAACGATGGGATTTCATTCATTTCCCCTACTGGACCAGCGTGGGCAGGCACGGAAAGAGACTACACGTATGATGAGGTAGGACCGAGCAGAAAATAACAGAGCCTAGTACTGTAGTTGCACTGTGGTTTTTAAGATTATCTCAAGGCCAAGCAGCGGAAGTTCATACTGCCTTTTCTAGAATCTGATTCAGTCCAGATAAAACTGCTACATTCTAACACTGCCATCATATAGCCAGTGTGATTTCATTGTCGGATATATTTGATAATTTAATGCAGGTGATTGCACCAGTCCCTCCCTTCCTAGAAAATATGTTCTAACAGTGATTAGTGAGAAGAAATCTCCAGTAAAGCCAGGCTCAGTATTAATGACTGTCTGCTGCAGTCACCAAGGAAAACCAAACAAGACGTGGTTTGAGACGTTTGCGTAGTGATGAATTTCAAATAGTTTTTTGTGTGTAGCATTATCTCACTGTAGGAAAAGGTAATTTCTACGTGAAAAACACCACATGAGCAAACAACATCTGCTTTATCAAGCTCTTTATTGGAAGGAAAGCTTAAAACTGAAGTGCTAAATTAGGGGTGATTTAATGGAATAGTAGTGTGTGTATATGAAATTAATTACTTCTCTTTCAGCACTGCTTATAATTGAGGCACCTTTAAACACTAAAGCACATGACTAGACAGGAAAAAAACAAACTTGATAGCTGCTGTAGTTTTTTTTTTTTTTTTTTTTCCTACTCTTTCCAACAATAAAAAAAAAGTAGGAAAAGAGGCTCTGAGCCAAAGAAATATTCTATTTGGCGGTGAAACAAGGAGATTACACATAGCCAATGTCAGCATTATGACCAATTCTTGTGATATTTGTGGAGGATATTATCAGCTTATGTTGTTTTCATCACAGCTCCTAAACAGAGTTTTCAACATCATGAGGGAAAAAAATCCAGACATGGTGGCTGGAGAGAAGAGGAAATTTGTAATGAAGCCCCCTCAGGTGGTCCGAGTGGGAACCAAGAAAACGTCCTTTGTCAACTTCACAGATATCTGCAAACTGTGAGTCATGACAACCGGCCTTGGTATATTCTGCCCATGACCCTCGTTCAGGAAAATCACCCCCTGTTCCTCTTTGTTCCTCACAGGTTGCATCGTCAGCCTAAACATCTTCTCGCTTTTCTGCTGGCTGAGCTGGGAACCAGGTAGAACATTTTTTTTTTTTTGTTGTTGTTGTAAATCTGAATACACCTTTGCCAGTGTGTGCATTTCATTGATTGTTCCTTTTTTTGTCTCTTATTACAGCGGCTCTATAGATGGAAATAACCAGCTTGTGATCAAAGGCAGATTTCAACAGAAACAGATAGAAAACGTGTTGAGAAGATATATCAGTAAGTTGGAAAGACTTATATTCACTTTTTGCCCTACTAGGAGTTCATATTTATAAATGTGAACCAGAAGGATTGAATTTAATGTATAAATGCTGTCTGAGCTCAGATTAGCTGAAGAAAGTATAAAATATTAAACCTGTAGTGAAAAATAATCCAAATAATTTATCAAAATAGGGGGTTGTATGTAAAAGTGTGGAAGGAGTGGGCTCTAATAGAGCAAGGTTTGATTCATTTTAAAATGTCCTTTGATTCTGTTCCTAACAACATATTTAGAAAATAAAGTTGAACATTTAAAAGCAGAAGGAGCAGCAGTACTTGGTAAATACCCTGAACAGTATTCCGGTCCTTCCAGTATTTTCAAACTTTTACCTGTTTAAGCTCAAATTTGCAAATGAACATGTTGGGCATTGGATTGTGGGTATTGTAGTCGTAAGATTGTCTTGCCACATGCGTTTGTTTTCCAGGTTATTTTTTCCAGACTGCCCTAAGGTTGTTTTTTCTTTTTCTCCTTCTTTCCTGCAGAGGAATACGTGACGTGTCACACCTGCCGCTCCCCAGAGACCATCCTGCAGAAGGACACTCGTCTTTACTTTCTGCAGTGTGAGACGTGCCACTCCCGCTGCTCTGTCGCTAGCATCAAGACTGGCTTCCAGGCTGTGACGGGCAAGAGAGCGCAGCTCCGCGCCAAAGCCAACTAAAGGCCAAGAAACCTGGCCCTCGCCCCATCCCTCTCCCTATGACCTCCTTTTCCCAGAAGCTGGGGTCCAGACGGCCTTGATGATTTGCATAAAGAACTCTCTGAATCGAACTGTGGGAGTTTGGCTGTTTAGTTTTCATTGCCTGTACAGGCAGGAGGGGAGGGAGAGATTATACAAAAGCAACAGATAGGTTCAGGTGCTGTAAAGCAGGTGATGTTCACCAGAAAACACCACTGGATTGAGTGCATTTGTTTCGTTTACCCTATGAACCCTTTGCCACTTAGAACTTTTTCCATTTGCTGTGCTTTCTGGATTTAAGAAAAGCTTGATTGACCACAGCTTGAATTCTTTTTTTTTTTTTTTTTTCTCCCACTTCACACACAGAGATGAAGACAATAGATTAACACCACAGCCGGTCATGTTGTGTTAAACTTGGCTGATCCACCTCCAGAGTGTTGCCTCTTCTGATGTCCATCTATATTCTTCACTAGGGCTAAACTAAATGCTACAGCAGTTTTAATTTTGGCCCAAATCACAAAACTATTTAGGTTTCTATGCAGCTTACTGATAAAGATCTTATTGACAGGGCTGTTATTAATGTTTTAAGCCAAATTAGTGACAAAGAAGTCTGACCACATTGATTTATAGTAAAATATAAATATTGGAAAACTTTTGGACAAACAGAAGCTATGGCGAATATGACTGCTCTGTTGAAGGAGGAATCTATACAGTCAGAGTACTTTTGTTGTGTTGAGGATTTCTAAAGATTAAATCAATATGTTTTTATTAGTTTGATTTAAACAATTTAAAATAAAAATTGTCAAAAGCTGGTTTAATTTGGTTTATAACAAAAACAAACAAACAAAAAAACTTCCTGGTTTAATTCTTGCTGGTTGGTATTTACTGAAAAGGTAACGAGATTTACTCTATAATCTACCCAGAACATGGAGTCGGTTCATGTGCAGCAGGCCACATGTCGGTTCTGCTTTTGTAGGAGCCTGTTGTGGGTTTGGTCGGACCAGTTATTTTAAAACCGGGTTTTTACGTAAATAAAATGTTTTCTCTCTCTCTCCATTACCTTTTCTTGTGTCAAATTTTATTTTCAAAGGCAGTGAGATCCCAAAGAGCAATATCCTAGACTAAATGTCAAGATTATCTCAATGACATTTTATTATCAGAAATAAATGGTATGGAATTTGAAATTTGAGGTAAAAAAAAAATAAATCAAATCCATAATTTGTATTAACCACTTCAGTAATTTGGAGCACTACTGGCCTTTTGGGATTTTAATCTCTACCAACTTTGCACATAAGAGTTCTGAGATTTGGATCTGCTCTAAGCAAATGTATTTTTCCTCTCAATTTTCCCACAAATATACATGCTCTTTTCAAAGTTTTTTTTTTTTTTTTTTGTTTTTTTTTTGATCGGAAAATATGGTCATTTAAAAATTGCACCTTAATGTTTCAAAACTGCTTTTTTCAGATGGTTATGTAACATTTCCAGTTTTTAACATGTTTTCTCTATTTGGACTGAGGGTAAAAATTTGCTCTTTAATTTACACCATCACATTTTGTCTGGTAGGTTTTTTTTTTTTTTTTTTGCTTCCTTCTGGTAGAGAAATTTCTCTTAAGCTAAAATTCTAAGCAGCATGAATGGCATGTTTTCTTTGTCAGGGCATTCATTGAAATCCATCCATCAGCTCAGACTGGATTCATTCTGTCAAAACAATGCATCCCCTTAAAATCCACGTTTCTGTGATAGCGCAGCTATACCTCATCTCAATAGATTGGATTTATATTCCATTCAAAGCTAAATTCAGATCTTTGGGTGTATAAAACCGATTACAAATTAGAAGCAGCAATGTCGGACATTAAAGATTTACAGAAATGATGCTCAATCAATGATCGGTAAACCTGCTTTTATTTTGAAGATCCCATACCGGAAGTACAGCAGTCGACCGTTACTCTTATTGGCTGGCATTGGCCTCGAGCGAAATCGTTCTTTAATGGTTGTTAAAAGGTTGTGTGTGACGCAACTGGACCAACACTAGGAGCCGTTTGGAAGAACTCTCTAGAACAACATTAGGCTTGGCTTAAAATCTTAAACATGCCTCGAGTCTACATTGGCCGATTAAGTTATCAAGTTCGCGAAAAGGACCTTCAGCGTTTCTTCAGCGGATATGGAAAACTGATGGAAATAGACCTGAAAAATGGGTAAGTTTTTGCTAACTGTTTGAACATGCTATTAGCTTTGGAACCGCTGCTACGACTGACTGAAATTGTTAACGCTGTAATATGAAAGCTTCTTTTTTCAGCTTCTAAATTTGGCTTTAAAACAGTAAAGCGATGATTGTTAAGGGCTAAGAGAGAGAATCGGAAACACATTTTAACCGTTTTTCGACCCCTTTTAGCAAAGGTCTCATGGCCAATATGGCGGCTTTGTAGTTCCTATATTAGAGCTAGCGTGGACTAAGCTTGCCTGGCTTGATGTTTAATGCATACGTGTAGATGTTATTCATCAACATATGATTTGCTTGTCTATTTTTATAATGTTTCATTTTATTTAGCTATGGATTCGTGGAGTTTGAAGACAACCGGGACGCTGACGATGCCGTGTATGAGCTGAATGGAAAGGAGCTATGTGGAGAGCGTGTGATCGTCGAGCATGCCCGGGGCCCACGAAGAGATCGAGACGGCTACGGTGGGGGTTACTGGGGCGGAGGGCGCAGTAAGTGCACTCTGGACTGGCAGATATTAATTCCCCTTTTACATCGGTGTCATGTTAGGGTGTAGATTTCTAAAGATGTTTTTAGCCTTTTAACTGTTTTTTTTTATTTTGGCACATTTTTCATCCAGCTGGCCTGAATTAATTTTTTCAGGTTAACATTGTTGCTCGATAGCTAAAACGTTTGGATACCGCCGTTTAAAGCATGCCGTTTTTATATGCATAAAGTATATTACATTCTTTTACTTAGTGTCTTTACTTTTATAAGCAATAGTTTGACTAAAAGCAATGCTTTTATTTCGCCAAACTGTTCTGTGGTCGTAATGATATCAGTTTGTTTACTTCGTTATCTTTATGTAGCTCAAATCACATTTTTTTCTAAAGATAACTAATCCATTAATAGTCGCTGACCTGTAGGTTTTTGCTCCTCCTGGTGCATTGATGGGAATGGGCAAATAACTGCAAGTCAGGCTTGATGATGAGCTAAAATGCTCTTAAGTGTATTAGGGATTTTTTTTTCTGTTGGTAAAACCTTTCTAACATTCTTTAAATTATTTATTTCACATGTAATTAAAATAAATATAGCAAATGTACATTGTTCGAGGTTAGGTTTTAACTAACATTTTTCTTAATTTGTGCATTGCTAATTTTAGCATTTATTTATATATATTTTTTTTCCAATATATTAAACATTAACAAAAGTCCTTGATGTTTCAATTTGAAAGAGTCCAGCTGCGGGCTGAGGCTGAGAGTCCATTGAGGCTAAAGATGACTGGCTAAGATGACTGCCTGTCCCGTTTGGCCTTGGCTTTCACCTTACAATGTGTGTGTGACCTTTGCCCCCCTTGATCCTTGGCTGACCTTACCGGAAGCCATGATGACAGCAGCCTTTTGCCAATAGACCAGGGGTGATGGTGAGGATTGCCATTGGTTTTTATGTTGACAGCAAACATGACTGGATCGGCTGTAGTTGACAACGTACAATCTAAAGAAAATTTGTAAGTGCAAAACTGAAAAGGAAAAAAAAGGATAGTGGGATTGACTAGCATCTGGCAAAATATCAGTTGACATACTTGTACAAATTTCACTGTACCATTTAGGCTCAATTCAGTCCACCAGCATCTTTGACCAAAGACAATGTGGAATTCTCCTCTCTCTTTGTTACAGGGTTCAGGGAACATGAAAGAACATCACTGTCCAGCTAAAATATTTCAATATGAAATATTAGTTAAAGGCATTGTTTTGCTGGAAATGGAATCAGTGGTGTTCTTTGCAGCAGTAAACATCTTTATAATCTAAATGCTAAAGACTTAAAAGTCTTTGCAGTTCCTGTTAAATCTCTTATATGAAGTTCTCAGAAGGAAATAGGGATTGGGGGGACTCGTATTTCAATTTATTCCCCAGTTTGATCTGGCCTATTTTCATTCAGTAGTCAAGACTCGTAATTTTCTCGGCTGTTTGTATCTTGTTTGCTCTAAAAAATGTTTGCCTGTGCTATCGTCTTTAAAGGTAGTGGTTATAGCAGCAGCAGGAGCCGCTCTGGAAGAGACAAGTATGGACCTCCAGTCCGTACGGAGTACCGTCTTATTGTGGAAAACTTGTCAAGTCGCTGCAGTTGGCAGGACCTCAAGGTAAAGGTTTTTTTTTGTCTGTCATTCATTTAAGCAACATTTAAAGATTGAAACTCTGAGCTTGTGTTTTATATGTTTTTTTTCTCTCTGTATTCTGTCTCGTTAAGGACTTCATGCGTCAGGCAGGTGAGGTGACTTATGCAGACGCCCACAAGGAACGAACCAATGAGGGGGTGATTGAGTTCCGGACCCGTTCTGACATGAAACGAGCTTTGGACAAGTTGGACGGCACAGACATCAACGGGCGCAAGATTCGGTTGGTGGAGGACAGACCGCGCAAACAAAGGTCTTACTCTGGGAGTCGCTCCAGGTTGGAATACTCATATCAGTTTCTAAACCTAGAATTCATGTTTTATTAAAAGCTTCTTCTGAAAAGTCATATATTTGACTCATGTTGTCAGATCTCGAAGCCGACGCCGCTCCCGCAGCAGAAGCTCAAGGAGTCACTCCAGGTCTCACTCCAGGTCAGTTTAGAATTGAGTATTAACTTGAAAGCAAACTGAGCTTCAGAATCTTTTTGTTAATTTAGGCAAATATTCAAAACTTTATCCTAATTATTTGTCGTTCTCGCCATCAGATCTCGTTCCCGAAGCAACAAGAGAAGGCATCGCTCTCGCTCAAGGTCTGACCGGAAGTCTCGTTCCAAGTCAGGAGAGCGGAAATCCCGTTCTGGCTCCCGCAGATCCCGTTCTGGCTCCCGCAAGTCCAAATCTCGCTCACGGTCACACAAGTCCCGTTCAGCTGACCGGAAATCTAAGTCACGTTCTAAGAGCCGCTCCAGGTCACGTTCTAAGAGCCGCTCCAGGTCACGTTCTAAGAGCCGCTCCAAGTCACGTTCCAAGAGCCGCTCTAAAGTTAAGTCAGAGCGGGATTCTCGTAGCAGATCCAAGGAGATGGATGCTGCTGTTGACAAGAAGTCCCGCAGCCGTTCACCTTCCCCTGTGGAAAATGGCAAAGAGGAGCGTGATGCCAAATCTGCTTCCCGCTCTCCATCCCCACATAAAGAAGAACGTCGCTCTAAATCCAGAGAGAAGCGTTCAGCTTCCCGCTCAGTCTCCCGCTCAAGGTCTCGTTCAAGATCTAGATCAGCCTCTCAGGATTAGATGTTTGATAGTTGTTTAAGTTTTATTATAAGGCTGTAAATAATAAGCAGTGTCACATGTCTCTGCTTCCTTACTTTGTTTCCCTTTCCTCTTTAAAAGTGTGTTTTGACATGCAGATGATAAATGCTGATTATCAGGGCTGTTTTTTTTGGAGTTGGTATTAAAACTTTCATCCGGGAAATATCTCACAATTGTCTTCCAGTTTAGAATTTCTCCGATCCCTTAAATTTAAACCTTTACTTTCCCCATAGAAATCTGTTTTTCTCAGAAGTGTTCACCAATCGTAAATCTGCTATCAGTACACTGGGTAGCATTTACTATAATACCCTAGATTATTATGCAAAGCAGCATATTTTGTTTTCTAACCACATTAAAAGTTGAGGAAGAATCGTCTGATATTGAAGCTTTATTATTTTTTTCTGTTTCCTGGGTAACCTTATTTTTTTTCTATCTTGCTTGTAAGAAGAATTATTCCTACATTTGAACAGCTTGCATTTTATGTGGGTTGTTAAGGATAATTTTTTATAGATTGAACATGAGCTCTGTTAATGGATGCATGTCCCCAACATGCTTAATTTATAAGTTGATTGAGGCAGTGAATAATATGTAGAAAATGCCTACATTGCAATGTTAAGTTTTCTTTGATGCTCTAATTAAAGTCCTGTTGGGTTTTTTATTTTATCCCCATTTGTGTTTTTTTGGTTTTTTTTTCTTTAAAGACTTAAAGAACACTTCTCATGCTGAGTTTCTTTGTTTAAAGCTGGTTTCATTCACAGCTCAACTTTGATATTGTTCATTTGCCTCAGTGTGCGGATTGTTTTCTGAATGCAGCATCATTTTCTTGTCCAGATTATTTTTGCTCCTGATTAAGATAAGCTTGTTTTTTATGTTCAAATAAAGATCTTAATAAAATTAATGGTGTGCTTTATTTATAAAAAAAAATGGCAGCAAAATCGACGTGACCTATATCGTGCTAATTATATAAGTGGGCTTAAATGAAAATTGTTTTAGCTAAAGGAAAAACATCCAGCTGTGCTCTGGAAACTTACCTTAATTTAAAACTTGTTAATGAAGACTTTGACCGGTTTGCAATTGCTAGACAAACCTGAACACATTGGCTGAGGTGCTTTTAAAGATGGTGTTTCTGCTAAAGAATTAAAATCAAAGCGATCAGCTACTGTCTGGCTGCGCGCATGCGCAGTCTGAGCTTCGGAGCCGCAGGGAAGCAGCGCTGGTAAGCAGCTGAATGTCAGTTTCCCAAAATATGTTCAACCTTTCTACTTTAACATTTTATTTTAAAGCAGAAATAATGGGAGTTATGTTTATTTGCATGAGCCCCCTTTATGTTTGCTTTTTTTATTTTTACGCACGTCCTTTTTTACGGTATGGATGCATCCAACCCAAATCCTTTTCGATCTGAAGGAGGGGAGGAAAATATATATATTTTTTCAAATTATCACTGATGTTTTAAATTCTTTAAACAAGAAAGCTCTGCGGCTGCATTTTTTTTTACTACAGTGTCAAACATGCTTATGGTTGTGGGGATAAGATAATATTCATTAAATCTGCTTCTGCTGAAATTGGTAGGGAGGTTTTTTTTTAATATATATAATCGCAGACTTAAAAGGACTTGAAATGTTTTATCTTCTTATTTTTGGCTTATGGTTTTCTGATCCTCCGCCATTTTAACTGAAATGTTGTATTTTTGTGTATGTGTGTGTGGACTTGAAGCCCTGTGCGTAAATATTGGCGTGTCACCATTGTTGCCTTATTTTATTGGATGTAATGGATTTTTATTGGAAATTAATTTATACCGTTGCTATTTAATAAATGTGTAAAGCGCAAAATTCTCTAGAGCTTGCCATATATTCTTCATTGCATAAAGTCTTATCAAAACATTCTTTCAGTTTTTTTATTATGTCTTTCGATAAATTAAGCAGATATTATGTAAAAATAAATAAATAAAATAGATCCCAGCCATTTATAAAGACTTTTACCTCAAAACTAACTCAATATTTGGATAAAGTCAAGAATTAAGTAACAGGGAATGATGTCAACTCTCCTTTAGAAAGTAAAGCTGGTTATGAAATGTTACCTGCTTTACTTTGCATTTTTACATTTGTGAATGCTTTATAGTGTTTGATTGTCGACAGACTGAACAAAACACGGTTTGAAGAGTTTTTTAAATCAAAAATCTGAAAAGTGTCTTGAATTTGTCTCAGCCCCCCCCATTTCCTCCAATACCCATAAATAAAATCCAGTGTTATAGCTGCCTGTGGAAGGGACCTGATTAGTTAAGTTCACCTGGTTGTAATTTAATTAATTTGTCAGATCTTCTGAATAGTAGCATTATAACAATCAGGAGATGTGGTTAGTGGATTGAAGGGAGGGTGGTGGGGAAGTTTAAGGCAGGTTATCAAACAATATCTCAGGCTTTGAGGATGTCACAGAGCTTTGTCCAATCCATCACTAAATTCCTGAAATGTGATGCTTGGAGTCTTACTTTCATTCTTATTGATCAAAAGCTAATTTGTAAAGAAGAATATGCAAAAATTTCAGTAAGTAAATGTACAGCTCTTATGTTTGCCTCTAAAAACCTTGCAGCTGTTATTGTAGGGAAATGTCCTCCTGCACATTATTGTTGATGCAAATGGAGACAAACTATTTCAAATGTGTTAGGTAAACCATGCCTCTATACACTTTATGTCTCCCTTAGGTTGGTTTGCATTAAAATTTGAGATTAAAAGTTTAATTAATTGCAAAGCGCTGCGTGCTCAACAAAAACCATGGCTGCTCTTCAACCTCTCTTTGAAAGAAAAAAGGAAACCTTTGCAAGTCACTTTAAACCAGTCTCTGTTTTCTTATCAGCGGCCAGACGGTAAAGAAGAGCCCACCGATATGAGCGGCAAAGTAAACATGGAGACTCAGTCCAAAGAACCTGACGGCACACCTCCTGACCCATCGCCCTCCTCTGCTGGTGAGACCATCCTCATCTGCGACAGCGTCGCCAAGAAACCCCGAGCCCAGCCCCACGCCACCACTACCACAGCTCTCCTCCTTCAAGGTGAGCTTTGGTCTGAAGGCTGAGAAACTGACCCAGTTCCACATTCTGCTAGTGTTTTATTGCAGTTAGCTGGAGATACCGAGCTCTCAGATTAAAAAATAACACAGCAGCTACCATTTGGACAAATCTAATAGATACACAGCAGTAGTTGCCACCAACTTCTGTGAGGATGCAGATAAAGCTCAGATTTACGTTCATGGTGATCTCATCTTGCAAAATTTAAGATGTTTCATATTTCATATTGCAAAAACGACCCTTTAGAATGATTTAAGTCACCCAAAGGATAAAAATTGTTTATTTATCATGGTCATCAGAACTCTCTTGGATGATGGCTGGGCATCTTTTAGTGTCTGTTTACTTTCTTATCACTTTCCTTAAAAAAGCCATCTGATTTGAGTGCCTAGTTAGATCCTCCTTATTTCATTTATTTAAAAACTCAGCTGGAATTTGTTCTTCTGTCTTTTCAGTGCAATCGCAATATGTGATTAGGAAGATTTGGTGTAAGGTGCTGTTATAAAGCATTTGTCTCCCTACAGATTTATTGCTAAAATTTTATTTTCCAATCCTCAAATTTAAGATGAACAAAGAAAATTTTAAAAGCAGTTAATCTAATTCTGAATAAAGAGGATAGAAGCTGTTCAAACTAACCTGACCTAGTGTGAAAAATGACTCTGCATTTAATAAAAATGATTTTTTTCCCTGGACTTTTGAAGAAAATATTCTTTTAAAGCAGAACCTTTGAGAAACCTGAAGAACCGAAGTGTTCCTCTGTTCACACAAACTTATTATATATAATAGAAGAACTTAAAAAAACAAACAAGAAAGGTTTACATTACCTTATATAAAGTCTGGACTTAAATCCTATATAGATAGAAGCAGCCCCGTGTCACTGAACAGGACGTTCATATTTAATACCCTCCAATGTTGCAGAATTCAAACAATTCTGCTGAGAGTGGGACATTTCTCCAGTTATGTGTGAAAGACTCCACCCATCTTTGTTTGATTTTAAAAAATAATTTAAAGTGTATAATTTTATTAAGAAACCAAAAGATATGGTAGACTTTTTTTTTTTTACATCACTGCATGCAAACCTTTAAAATGGAAATCTATATTTCCTAACCGATTAGGTCTTAATTATAAGATCCTAATTTCTAGAGTTTATGTATTTAGACTATATATGTATTGTACAAATGTGTGTGTATAACTAGGATTATCTGCATAGAGAAATGCATCTTTTGGAAAGTGGATTATCTTTAAAACATTTTTTGCCAAAGCTCTATATATTCTGTCTACTTCCTTCTCTGCATTTTTATGAATGCCGCAGATTCTAATGATCTGTGTTTGAAAAAAGGATGCTCTGTTTTCCGTAGCTCCTCCTGGTCACCAGAAAGTGGAACTGACTCAAGCCCTAGCAGTGGCAAACCCAGGGAAAGGCAGCAGACCAAATGAGATAGCTGGCCCCACCCTGACAGCACAGGTTGGGGGAGCTTGTAGCATCGTCCATGTCCTGGAGTGGAAGGAGGGGATGGCCATTCTGCCCAGTAGCAACCTGAAGGTGAGACCCTGCGAGATGCAAGCTGGCTCCTGCAAGATGCTCCTATGACGTTACTATAAAATCATCATTGTTCTGGATAATTTGATGTTTAGAGATATTTAATATTTTACATTATGACTGAACATTTTGAACCATTACTTTTTTGAGATAATAAAAACATAACTCTTTTAGACTTCTTTAAGGACGGAAGGTCTGACTTATTTTCCCAAATGAGCTCTTCTGTGTTTCCCAGTTCTGTGTGAGTGATGTAGGGACTCTGAGCACACTGATAGCCCCAGGGACCACCAGCACCCCCGCTGACCCATCAGCAGGGACCTCTGGAAGAGCCATCGAGGCAGAAGGCCCTCCAGACAAACCAGGTAGATTCCCCACAACTAGTAGAAACAGCTGCAAACAAACTTTAAAAAACCTCAATTTAAACAAAACATTTTCAGTTTTTTAATCAAACCAACTTAAAATGATAATGTATAACCAATTCTCCATGCACAGCAGGAATTTGAATTTGAAAATATTTTCAGTAAGGATGGATTTTTGGCTTCACAAACAATAATGAAAGCAGAATTTAATAAATAACTAGAAAACAGTATCTGTCAATTATACTGCCATTAACCAAACCTTTACATCCCTGTTAAGGTTTATTGACTTCCAAATGTTTATTTTAACCCTTTAAATTGTTTTACATGTTGTCAGACAAAAAAATATATCTATAACGTTGGTATTTTATGCGATAGATCCCCTCTTAGCATTTGGTAACACTGTAAGAGCTGCAGGGATCCGCAGCTCAGATGGGACAAACAAGACAACTACAAGCTGTGCAACTCCTATTTTTGCGCTTTTATTTAAAGATTTGCAGTTAGAAAGCCAATTTTGAAAGATGGTACTTTGGGATTAAATCAAGCGTCATGTTTAAAAACAAAAATTTTGCATTGACTTAAACATATCGCCCAATGATGGCAGCATGATGCTGTGGGGATGCTTTTCCTAAACAAGTAATGGATCAGATTTAAAGGGAAGACGGATCGAGGTAAATACACCGGTCCTGGAAGGATCCTTTTCACAAGCCTACAAAAGGCTGCAGATAAAAGATTTGATGGCAAGTCCAGAGCTTAACAAAATATGTGGCCTCACTTAAAAATGTGATTTTTACATATATTTAGGGAAGAACAAGTAAAACTTTTTTTTACCATTAGGTGTGAGAGAGAGAATCCTGGAACCCTTGTATATTTAAATGCAAGTAAAAGGTAGTTCTCCAGAGATTAAGGTTGTAGTTAATATATTCAGATTTGATCTAAATAATGTCCCTTGGGATTAGATCGGTCATTCTTCCAGTCTAGACCTTTTACTGCAGCTGATCAACAAATGTCAGCTCCCAAAGGAGGGGTTGGGACATCCAGAGGGGAGGTCACAAGACACCAAGTTGGGGGGTCACAAGATCTTTGTGATGTGCTCCCTGAGGTATATGAAAGGTTAAAATATATGATGTGAAAGAAAAAAAATTATTATACCATGGAATAAGTTGATGTAACATGTATTAGCTTATTTAATACAGCATTCAAATTTTAAATATACCAAAAAACTGTTAAATGCACAATTTAATTCCCCATTAAATAATGAAAAATACATTTACAATGATTAATTAGATAATGAAATTGCATTTTGAAATAATCTATTCACAATGTAGTACAAATATGAATAAATACAGAGTGAAGTAATTATATGAATTGTTATGGGGTCACAAGTCAGTCGCTTTGTTGTTTTTGGAGTCCCAGGCTGAAATGGTTGGGAACCCTTGGTTCATTCAAGCAGAACTGAAGGGATCTTAACTGATTTACAGCATATTATGGATTCTACATATCAAGGGCTCTGGAGATACATTTGGTCAGGATGTGGTGTTAAAGTGCAGAAAATGAGCTGCAAATTATTTAAAAAATGTGACTTTATCTCACTGAACCAAGTAGCATTAAATAGGTTAATTGCATAAGATGTTTTCTGTAACACTCAGCCAGCGTGTGCAAGGGTTAAAGACCTCCACCAAATTGAACTACTAAATGTAGCCGGAATTTGATCATAATATTTAGTGTTTGCTGCAGATTGAAATTACCTTCTCCTTCCAATGATCCACCATGTGTTCACTGGATTAAGCACAGATGAGGAAGGATTACATCAGTGACAGCAGAGCCCCCCTGGAGCAGTGAAGAGGCTGCAGCTGCACGTCCACATTCAGCAATAATAAGGCAGCACAGTTTTCTGTTAACTAGGCATGAATTCTGATTCTTCGCAGTCCCGGAAGTGTCTGTTCCTGTCAGTGCTGTGAGAGCTGCAGCTGTGGAGCCAGAGAGGCTGGTTCCTGTCAAACCTGAGGTCCAGGTGGGGGCAGAGCAGCAGAACCATGACCCGAGAGCACAACGGGGCTATGTGGAGGAGCTCCGAAGGGACCCCATCCTGGACAAGTATGCTACTAAGTACTACTGTGTTTTTAATGGACTTTCACATAATAATTGAACTTTATTGATCTCACATTGGAGAAATGTACCTCTGCATTTAACCCATCCCCTTTGGGAGCAGTGGGCTGCCATCGTGGGGCGCCCAGGGAGCAGTGTTGGGCTAAGTGTTGGGCTCTTTGCTCAGAGACCCAGAGTGGCAGTCTGTGGCAGTGGGGCTCAAACTCAGAACCTCAGGATTCCACATCCACTCCCCCTGCACACAAAATGAATTAAATTTGATTTATTTGAATTATTTAAATTCAGTTAAATCGTGTAAATTACACAGCCAAAACTGATATGAAATTAGTTTTAAAAAATCTTAAAATATATACTTGCTCTTCATTTTAGCAGACAATAAAATGATTTGCAAGTGGAATTAGTATTTTTGCCCTTAAAATAAGATAGTTACATATTATTTATCTGAAATGAGGAAATTGAGTTGTTTTTTCTTATTTTAAGCGTGAATTATCATATCCCTCATGTATGACTAACCAAACTATGACTAACCAAATGTCTGACTAACCTGGTCAAATAGGGAAAATATGCTCATTTAAAGAAAAAAGCTACTTATATTTCACTTTTTGCAGTGATTTGATCTCATCTAATTTCAATTTGTATTTTTCATCTTTTTTTCAGTTCATTTTGATTCAATCATATCAAATTAAATTCTGTTAAATTGTATCATATTAATCAAGCTGAGTTCACTCTATTTGGATCAAATACAATACAGTATGATAAACTTTCCATTCAGTTCAATTTGATTTTATTTGATTCTTGATTAATCCTGAAGGGAAATTAGATTTTCTGCTTCATATTTCTTCTGCATTTCAGGAGGAGTGTCAGTGTGGAGAAGGTTCCTGCAGGCGGGAGGGTGTCCTCCCTGAACCCAGACCACCTGAAACCCATGAGGAAGAGGAAGAGGAAGGAGTACCTGAGCCCGTCTGAGGAGGATTCTGACATGGAGTGCACGGTGGGACAGCAGTTTGGTTTCTATTTACACTGCAGTTAGTGTTAAGCTCTCCATTCTAATGAAATTTAAAAGGTTATTTAATTTCTAACTATTTTCTCAAATAAAATTTTTTTCTATAATTTTATTTTCTTTTTTTTATCTTCTAGGATGAGAAGATGGATTATTCTAAAGCTGATGGCCGGCACATCAGAGGAGGTTATTGCTTCTTTTCATCTTCCTCTTAATTTAAATCTTCTTCCACCATTTTTTAATTATTTGCCAGTTTATTTGCTTAAAATTGCACAAATAAGTTTTAAAATAGCTACACAGAAACTGCAAAACGATGGGATCAATGAATATTACCGGTAATACAGGGTTTAAATACTGACTCCTTTGGATTTTCTAACTTCTTTATTTCCTTCCTAGTCCCTGTTTAATTGCATCCATCATTTTCTTATGTTACGTTTGTCTATACTTTAATCTAGTCCCCTAAATGAATGCATCAGGGCTGCATAAAGTAACGATCTGATTTTCATTCTTTTGAGAAGGAGGAGACAGCAAGACTGAGCAATGGACGTGGGCTCAGTATCTGGAGGAAACCAAATCTGTTGCTGCTCCTAACAAACTCTTCCATCAGGTATTTATCTTATTCTTTTCATTTCTTGCTGCATAGATACTATATAGTTATCATCCCTGAATAAGGAGGACTTTAATTATCTGTGGTTTCAGCTTTAAAAAGTCCTTTTGGACAGAATTAATCTGCAACTAATGAAGAGAAAGCCTTGTTGAAAGCAGTTTAAACAGTTTGTATAAAAATCCTTTGGATTGCATTTTGCATTATCATCTAGTTTTGCACCCGCTGAGTGTGGAAAGTACAATTAATGGAATAAATATGAACTAAATTCTTTATTAAATGTGTTCAATGATGCTGCTTTGAGTTTAGTTTCAGTTCTACTTACACTAAAGCAAGAGGTTTACCTTAAAACCAAGTCACAATTCCCTACCCAAAATTACTGAATATTTAAGGTTCCAATGTTATCACTATTGATAAAACCACAGAATAGAGAACGCCACTGAAAATTAAATGAATTTAAAAATAACTTTATTTATTCTTTTCACAAAATTGAGTTTGAATCTGAGTCTGCAGGACGTAGGAATAAGTTAGAGGCCTGAATGTGACCATCTAGAAAAGCTAACATTTTGATCCTGTTCTTAAAATACTTTTTCACTATTCTCATTGTGCCTAAAGATAAGTTTAGGACAACCTCCAGCCCAGCAGTTGATACCTAAGAGAGCAAAATCATGGATTACTGATCTGCATTTCTTAGAAGATAATCCTCAAAATAGTTGCAGTTTTTTGAATGGGAAGAGCTCATTATGAGATTATGCTGCTACTGTAAAAGTGTTTTCAGTTTTGTTTATTTAGTTGTTTTAAAAGTGAATGAAGAGCTTGTTCTCCCCATGTTCAGGCACAGAGAGTTCCCACCGTGAAGAACGGCTTCAAACAGGGGATGAAGCTGGAAGGCATTGACCCGCAGCATCCGTCTATGTACTTCGTTCTCACTGTGGCTGAGGTGAGCTGCACTTCCAATTATACAGTCTGTGACTCCCGAAGGCTGCAAGGATTCACGTTGATTAAAAATGCCAGTCATTTCCCAGACTCGGAATACAGGATCAGGTCAGGCAGCCTCTTCCAGCTCCTGTGATTTGTGCTGTAATCATGCAGGTGTGCGGTTACCGGCTGAGGCTCCATTTTGACGGTTACAGCGACTGTCATGACTTCTGGGTGAACGCCAACTCTCCCGACATCCACCCCGCAGGCTGGTGTGAGAGCACCAGCCACAAGCTGCACACCCCTAAAGGTCAGAGGTCATGGTGTCTGTAAACCAAAGCAAAGAGCATTCTGGCTGAATATTCATGAGGTTTTGCAGGTTTTTAAGTTGCCTTTTTTGTAAGAACTATTTCCGCTAAACAAAATAACATCTTCACGGAGCATGAGATATTTCTTTTGTTTCCATGTTTTATGTAATTTGCTGCGGTTCCCAACAAATGCGCAAAATTTCAGAGGTTTGAAAGGATTTATGTCACATATGGATATGATGCAACACATTACAATAAGATGGAAGGAAAAATAATGCATGGTTTTAAAAGAATATTTGTTTGAATTTCGTGTGATGTGCTGTATTAAGTTCTATTTCATTAGCATCTGACCAGAGCATTTTCCTCCATAGATGTCATTTTCCCCCTAAACTGGAGGGGGAACTCCATCAATGGCTTCCTTTTTTCCCAACTTTCTCTCTTGCTTCTGTTCTGATCTCCTGTGATCGGTGTTGCCCTTACCCAGACTGTTAGTTTCATGTCCTATTTGCTTCCTATAGCTTTGTCATCGTATATTTCTCTGTTTGGGAAGACAGATTGAGTTGAGCTCTGTGAGATCTCCTTTGCTGTCTGCCATGTTTCCTAGTCTCATGATGCTGTTTGTTCATTGAAGTTCTATAACTATCCTTTTTTGTCACAGAACAGCTGGATATTTGACTGAATATTTGACTGTTTCCTAAAAAAAATTGAATAAATCAGGATAAGATAAAACTGGGAAAGAATTTTGCATCTTGAAAAAATGGTAAATAAACAAAGAAACTCTAAACCATTTGCACGAAATACATTGTAAAATACAAAAAGAGTCCTCATTCACTGCTGCTTTTTTCAAAAAAGCTTCTGCAATGTCACAAGATTTATTTAAAAGATTTATGTACATTCATTTTACACCAATTTCTTTTATTGATTATGGGAAACTCTTTAGCGTGCAAAATAAAGGTAGACTGATACATCGGCCAACTGATTTATCGATATCTGCTGATACTTGAACACATTGGCCAATTCATTAGAAGATTCAGCAGCCATGCTTTGAAATAAAGTGGAGCGCCTGCATTGGAGCTGTCTCCATCTGTGGTTCATTGTTAATTTTTTTTATTTTCCGATTTGTTAATAAAGGTTTGCTTTTTGTTTATATTGATATTTGTTATTATCATCACATTTTTATCATGTAAATGGGGGAAGAAGAAGCAATATCGGCTCCAAGAATCGGACCAAAAACATTGCCGGCATAAACAGGATTGGTTACAAAATTGACCCAAAAAAAAGTACCAGCACCGGCCTAAAAAAAAATCCTGTATCCGTTTTTCTCCAGCATTTCGCAAAGATTCTCATTTTAGCTTTATGTCTGGACTCTGTGGACCAATGGTATCTCATGCTCTCTAATCGCTCTTTCCCGATCGCAGCCCCATGAATCCTGGCATTGTCATTATGGAATATGCCCGTGCCATTAGGGAAGAAAGAAATCCATAGATGGAATAACCTGGTCATTCCCTATATTCCTGGACTTCCCTTTGCAGTGTGTACGTGGAAATGCTCTTACTTTCACTCTTAAACATACCCCTGAGTTCTACTGTTCCTTCTCTTCTATTTGATTTGGCCAAACATTTAACTGATCGACAATTACAATCTTTTTTTATGTGACCCCATTTCTTCCTCAAAGACAACCGTTCTCCTACTATCCTTCCAGTTTTCTTATAAATGCGTTGGACAATTCTCCACCCGAGTCTCTACAATATCCTCAGATGTTTTATCTGCTTGATGCATGCCAGTAATTTGATGCTTTTCAAGCGATCATCTTTTCCACGACCACAGGATGTGTCTTTAGACATGGTTGTTTAAGTAATAAGAAGCTACTCATTGCATCAGATGAGGTTAAATAACTTGCTGCCAGCTGATCACTCATTCAGTAGTTATCCAACAGCATGCTTCTAACCATTGAACTTATTTTTGTATAACAGCTTGGCTTCTTTGCCCCAGAGCAGCTGTGGATACCATATAGCTGACCACTCTAAGAGTGGGAATGTTTGTAGCATGCATTCACTTTTACAGAATAATTGTAAACAAATATCAGATGAGCATAAATACCAGTATAAAATGAGAAACTGATGCTCCATCCCTGTTTTCCCTGCAGGCTGTAAGGAGGAGGAGTTCACATGGACCAACTATCTGAGGATGACTAAAGCTCAGGTTGCCCCCAAAGAACTTTTTGCCAGTCCTGGCAGGGTAAGTGCTTTTCTACGTTCAGTATGAATCAACCCAGATATATAAACTAAACATCTTATTTAGAGCCAGGAAACTGGCAGCTACTTAGAAATACAGTTTTTGTTCTGCTTTTCTCTAGTTTCACACTTGTTTAGCTGAATTATCTCATAAATATTCAATGTTTGTAGAATTTGAACAGATGATGTTGATCGAAAGGAAACTGTTTTTTAAAGGACATTTATAAACTAATGATGAATAGAAAATTATTACCTTTTATATCATTTTAAATAATCCCAGAATTAATCCTGAGGTGTTTAATCTTTAACTAGTGATACTTACTGATTCCTTTCTGCTCTTTTCTTTAGATGGATGTGAAGTGTGGTTTCGAGACAGGAATGAAGCTGGAGGCCGTCGACCGGATGAATCCTTCACTCATCTGTGTCGCAACTGTCACAGACGTGGTGGACGACCGCTTCCTGGTTCATTTTGACAACTGGGATGATACATATGACTACTGGTAAGCCTGGAGTTTGCTGGTCATTTCACCTCTTTGTCTTTTCTTAGCTCTGTGGTTTTATGTGCCTTTATTCACATGAACCAGACGATAAAGAGAAGAAGGAAGACATGCAGAACATGGTCAAAATATTAGGAATCAATCTTAATTGGCTTCACATACTGGCTGACTGCTCTGCTACTACACTACATAATATGAATGATAATATGGGACGAGTTATTTGCTGTAATCTACTAAAAGTTTTTTTTAATGAAAAAATACAGACAATTTTATAATAATATAGAGATAATATAGAGTTATAATAATGTAGAGAGATATAATAAAAAAAAAACACCTGAATGCAGAGTTTTAATATAATTATATTAATGTATTATGTGAAAATAAAGCGATCCAAAATAGCTTGACTCTGTTTTAGAGAGTTATGGTCTTTTTACTGTGATACACGTGGAGGAAACTTCTGCCCTCAACTGGAAATTAGTCTTTAAGACTTAAAAGAATTTTTGGCCGTATCCTCTTCTCAGTTTTTTTTTATATTCATACTCTTTGGATCTTTTGGAAGCATTAATGGGTTTTTTTCAGGACATGCTCTGCTGTATTTATATACAGGCTTTGACTAGGCTCCCCAAAGCCTTCATTTTTGGTCTTTAGGTCCATTCAGAGGTAGACCTAATAGTATCTTTTAGTTATTTTTTTGCTTCCTCACCAAACCGCATTTGTCTTTATTATCATCTCATATCGATTCCCTGTTATGGTAAATGGTAAAATAGAGGTGAAAGACTCTTTATATCCACATAGGACCCCAGTAAATAAATCTTTATTGTGCAAATATTTCGTTTTTAGGCTTTAAACTATTTTAATATTCATTTTCATGTCTTTTCTTACTTACTTCCTTAAAACTGTTACCCAGTCACTTGACTTCGGTTTTTGCAAATTTTTAATCTAAACTCGTTGAATTTGAGGTTTTTCTAATCCAAAGTTTGTTCTGATATTAACCTTTGAAGGTGTGATGCCAGCAGCCCGTATATTCATCCTGTCGGCTGGTGCCAGGAGAGGAACCTCCCACTAACACCACCCCAAGGTGACTATACTACCACTGATCAATAATATTTAGCTATGTTCTTAGACCATAAATCCTTAAAATAGCCACATTTAGCCTGCCTTCATGGCTTTTACATTTATAGTTTTATAGTCCTTTGATTTCATTCTTTTCATGTTTGGACATATTCTTATGTTTCCCGATCTGCTAGCAGTTAGAGAAATTATCAGAAGTTGCTGATGTAAACTTTTGAGATATTTAATGCCCAACGAGAAAACAGTTTGCAGGCAGTAAACTGTAAATATTCACAGCTTAAAAAGTGTTTTCCGCTGATCCAGATTATCCCGACCCAGGCCAGTTTACCTGGACGCGGTACCTGGAGGAGACCGGTTCTAAGGCTGTGGCTGCTGATGCCTTTAAAGTGGTGAGAATATAAAAACAAGAAACCTTTTTGATCTGCAGCTTAGAACATGTTTGCTATAAGCGTGTTTATATCACATGTTGCGATGGTCTGCAGAGGGCTCCTCACAGCTTCCAGCCTCAGATGAAACTGGAGGCTGTGGACAAGAGAAGCCCCGGTCTGATCAGAGTGGCCACAGTGGAAGAAGTAGAGACTCATCGCATTAAGGTAATTCTCTCTGTTTGAGAGGTACTCCTCTAAGACCTTGTCTGCCTTCATTTGGATCAGTTTGCATCACATTTACAGTCAGCATATGTTCATAGACGGAGGCTCAGCTGTGTGTATTTCATCTCCAAACTAGGCACCAATTTATTTTTCCTTTCCCAGGTTCATTATGACGGTTGGAGTCATGTCTACGATGAGTGGATGGACTCAGATCACCCAGACATCCACCCAGCAGGCTGGTGTGAAGCAACTGGTCACCCTCTGAAAGTTCCCCCTCGGGACACTAAAAGTCAGCAACCGCACGGTAGGACTGGAGATCCTGAGGCTGCTTTGAATCCATTTTAGAAAGCCTGTGTGTTTCTATTATTTGCAGATACCGGTACCCTAATCTTCCAAGTACAAAACCGTTTCCTTTCAGATTCTTTCACTTTTCCCTTTTTTCTCACTCTTGAAGGTTATCAGTTAATCAACCAAATTCGACAATTAGGCAAAGGACGCTGATATTAGGAAGGTTGTTTCTCAAATAATGCATTTTATCTTATTTACTAAGAGAAACGGTTATCAAAACCAGCATGGTTATACCTGACTTCCTTGTTAAATCGTAACGTAGCTCTGATTAACCACATTTAAGTGCTTTCATTTTCGAGCCCTGATTACTGCAAAATCTGCAAAACAAAGATACAATCAAGAATAAACCTTCTTAAAAACCAACGCATAATGTCCCAGTCTTACATGAGAAACAAGGTCATTCAGAGTTGTTGGTCTGAAAAGAGGCACAAAGTTGTTTTTAGGGCTTAAAGAATGAAGTGATTTACAGAAAGAGCCGTGAAGACAGTAGTGAAACTTCCTTGAAGTAATTGACAAAACACAAATTTCTCTAAAAAGCCCATTTCACCCAGAAGACAAAAACCTCTTTAAACATCCTCTAATACTATGCTGAAAACCACTGCTGACCTCACAATACTCTGGAAAATATATTTCTTGGACTGATATGATAAAAGTAGAATTCTTTTGAAGTTTTTCTGTCCTGAAGCATCCGATGTTGAAGTTGGAGCTGAATGATTTAATTCAACTGAACCATGACTTCTGCTCTCTGGCAGAAAACCCTGAAGGAAAACCCTGTGGCTACAGTTCCATGTGATTATGCAGCAGGAAAGTGATCTGAGCCACATAAGCAAGACTCAAAACAGAACTCAAAACAGCAGGTTGTAGAATGACCTAATAAACTTTGGTAAGAATCCGATTGAGCTAGAGTGGTGTGACTTTAAAAGGACTTTTATTCTCCCCTTATGTAGTTTAATTAAACAAATTATGCAAAGCAGAGTGGAAAGCACTGATGTAAAAAAATGATTGTCATCACAAATACTCGATGGTAGCGTGTCCTCCCAGTTAACAGCTGCTGATCTTTTTAACCCTAGAGGTTTTTTGGGTACCTCAGGGCTGAAACCATTTATCGGATTAATCAATTATTGAAATAACTATCAACTAATTTAGCAATCAATTAATCATTGAATTGAATATAGAGACTATAAAATACGCCTTTAACTGACAGAGCAACAGTAATTGCACCAAAATTGTAAAAAATAAATAAACATGTTACCTTTAAGATAAAGAAAACTCTTCCGTCTGTCAATATGCTCTATCCAGTTTTAGTTTCACCTGGTTTAATATCGTACAAGGTCTTTTTTAGGGACCTTTGGCTATACGATTATTACCGTAATCATTTGATGGAAACAAATAATCAACAGTTTAATTGATTTGCCAAATAATCGTTAATTGCCCACCTTTTTTAGTTAGCTTTTCCCTTAGAAAATGAAACAGATATCTGAAATGTGTTTTTAACTCAGGCTCTCTTTTTCTGATACTAAACTGATGATCTGAGACATTTAGTTCTTTAAAAAGAAGACAAAAGAAATCTGAAACAGAGCCAATCTTTCTGTTGACAGCACTGGCCTACATCCAGGATCCAGGTTAACGCATCTTAGATTTTTCTCTCTTCACGTGACAATTTCCCCATTTTATTTTGTAAACATTTAGGTGTGAGAGAGCCTCCCACTACGGGCCAGAACCCCTATCCGACCACGGTTCCCTGCAAACCCATCAGCCACCCCAGAACCAACAAGTACAGTTTCCACAACAGGTCAGCATGGAGCTAACGGCTCATTTCTTCACATGAACAAAACCGTACTGGAACACTTTCTGCTAAATATGCAAAGACATATGTGTGCATCTCTGAAAAGAAGTGGCAAACAAAAAGTTTAGAGCAAAGAGGAACATCTCAAAGGGAAAGTTGATTAAATCTTATAGAGTTAATAAAAAAGAAAAATCTAAATAAAATGTGGAAAGCTTAAATATACAACTGAAATCTATCGTAACTCCTCTGCAGAAACTAAACAAAGCAAGAAGCTTTACCAAGTGTCAACAAACAGTTTGTCATGAGCTGATATATTTGGAATGATCATTTTAAATCTTAGCACCTAAATCAAAATATTAATATATTTATCAAGATGTAAATAACACTGAATATGAAGCCTCATAAATTCTCTAGATGGTTGATTCTCCTGTACTTCTCTTTGGGACTCTGTCTTTGGAACAGGAAGTGTCCGACTCCAGGTTGTGATGGTTCGGGTCATGTGACGGGCCGGTTCACGGCCCATCACTGCATATCGGGCTGCCCGCTGGCGGAGCGGAACCAAGGAAGGCTGAAGGCCGACCTGTCGGATTCTGAGTGCAAGAGGAACCTCTTCTTTGGCCAGAGGACTAAGAAAGCTCATTACCGTGGCAGGTAAACAAACGCCTACGGCTGCAGATACATGCAATTCTAATGGCTGCTAGATTCCTTTAGTGTCACACAGATATTTTCCTGTTTTGAAGGATTGGCCGTCCACCCAAATACAGAAAGAACCAGCAGAGGGACTACCAGAGTAAGGTTTCGTCTGTTTTTATATCTATATCACAGCAGTCTATTTATTTATTTATTTATTTATTTATTTATTTATTTATTTATTTATTTATTTATCTTAATTTATTTACTAAGCATTAATTTATTCATTCATCTATTTATTTATGAAAACTTTTCAAGACAATAAGGATGTCCTTTAACAGGCCGTCCTTTGTTATAATTTGAATATATTTATAATTTTTACTATATAAGTGTTAATATATTACCAGACAACTAAAACTGAAAAAAAAGGTTAAGAAAACATTTTTGGTGAAGAGCAAATCAGAACACCCACATTTTTTCTGTGTTAAAGTGAAAAAGTGAGTCAAGAGAATATCACAGATTATAAAATGTTACTTTTGTACATTGGGCTGAGGAGAAAAAAACAACTAGATTTTTGTTCATTGATCCAATTAGGTCTCTAGAGATGAAAAAAAAATAGCGTTTCCTTTTTTAAATCCAGAGTTTTGGGGAGGAACAGAGAGCCTCAGAATCCAGACTATGCTTTAGCCTCCAGACAGTTTATTTTTATGTGGGCCTTTTCTACAGGCATGTCTTCAGACGGAGGCTATCCGTCCCTCTTCATGTCCGCTCTGAGCGGCCAATCGGACCGAACCCTCTCTCTCTGCTGGGAGCAGCACTGTAAGCTGCTACCAGGGGTCCAGGGAATCCACGCCAGCCAGGTGGCAACATGGAGTGTTGACGAGGTCAGCAAACGTCACAGCTTTACTTTCCTCTTCATTTATTCCTTCTTCTCTGCTTTGATCATTATGTCATTTCTCAACTTTTCAGGTCTTCAGGTTCGTCCAGAATTTGATTGGCTGTGAAGATCAGGCTCGTCTCTTTAAAGAGGAGGTATAACCACCATGAATGATGATATTAATGATGATGATGTCCAACAACTGCTTGGTTAAACAGCTTTTTAAATATATTTTTTGCCCTTTTAAGTGTCTCGGCAGTTAAGCAATGATCAGAACCACTGTGTTTGATAGTTAAAGCAACAAAACAATTACAAAAGGATTCAAAAGCTTTCATGGTTAGAATGCCTTCTAGGAAACACCAAGGTCATTGCACACATAATGAGTGAAAACAGTAAACCTTAGTTTATTGTTATCAATACCTGAGCTGAAGATAAAAAGTTAAACATTGTAGATATTTGATGTTCATTTATGAGAGTAATCCCTGGTGTTTAAGAAAAAAATAATAAAACTAAGCTCTCCTTAATTTTGGACTCTTGTTTGTTCTATTCTCCAGATGATTGATGGGGAAGCTTTGCTGCTGCTCACCCAGACCGACATTGTGAAGATCATGAGCATCAAACTAGGGCCTGCCCTCAAGATCTCCAATGCCATCCTCATGTTCAAGACCACAGATGAGGGGCTCAAGTGATATCACCCTCCCTCACTAGAGGAGATCATCGTGTGCCAAATCCATTCTGTAGCAGGGGAAAAAAAAGAAGAAACCCTGAATATGTTTTTTTTCCATGTGTTTGGTGTCTTGTGCCCATCAGAGAGAGGGATGGGGAAAGGCTGGACTGGATCATAAAGAAATAGAAGAAAAAGATGTGTTAGAAAACAGTTATAATCTTTACAACTAATGAGGATTCCTGGGATGTTGGATTGGATGTCAGTGTAAGAAAGCTAGTTTAGCTAAATGTCTGGTTCTTGCCAGCATAAAATGATTGCCTCAGGTGTGTTTGAGTTAAACGTAAGCTACACACCCTTTTTTTTTTTTTTTTAGCTTAAAGGTATAGTGGAGGATGTCCTTTTTCCAGGTGGATCATCAAAATAAGTGGTCCTCTTCATTGTCAATCATTCTGATGATATGTTTACGTAAGGCCGTCCTACGTGCTCGTCCCCATTTTCCCTTACCGGTGGTGAGTCTGACATAGTGGAAAATCTTCTTTTGGAAAGTAAGCTTGTATGAGCAATGCAAAAAGCACCTTTAAAACAGAGCGTGCACGAGGAGAAACGGGCTTGTGCACGCTCTTGTACGCATTTAATAGGCATTCCCTCTCGGGAGCGGGAACAGGGTTGTGAATGTGCATTTCTTTTTTTTGGAGAGGGCGGGTCTTTTCAAAAATTCGTGAAAATCCTCCACTATACAGTTAAGATTGGATTTAACCATAATTCGAATGCTAAGGTGCTAAATAAATAGTACTGTCAAACTAGCACTATAAAAACTTTGACTTCCTTAAAGGAAATTGCTGCCTTCAAATGTTCTAATTTACACCTGAGTTTAATAGAAAGTATACAAACCAGCAATCGTAACTTGAATTAACATTTTAACATGGTGTGGAAAGGAGATTTGATTTCAAAATGAAATTCAACAACACAGATAAAGTTATTATAGAGTTACTTATGTAAAAGTGAGAGAAAGAAAACCGGAAAAAGAGATCGGAGGAGTGGACAGTCAAAAACATGGGTGAAAGAAATAAAAAGGACGTTGGAATTGTAGTAAACAAGGCCGGATAGTGAGGCTGTGAGCTTCACATTTTGTGCAATAATAAATTCCTAAAGGGGGTTTGTTCTATCTGCTCACAATCAGCTCCCCAACATTTCCATTGTAACAGTGTAGAGTTAAAGAAGTCAAATAAGCTACTTTAGTCAGTCTGTTGGAGGCTTCATGCACAGAGAAACTGACATAATATTCTCATGAGAATCAGAACTGTTTGATTTTGCTTCTGCTTCAGATATATCCTTGCTGCACAATTTAAATTTGGGATTTCCCAGCTCTCCAGTGAGAGACAGAAACCAGCACAGGCTTTGAATTGATATCTCTACTTGAATTTAAAATCTGAATCTATTCTTTCCTAATGTAGGGGGGGGAATAAAATCATAATTTTAGCACAATTGTGAAATCTGGTTGGATCTCACCGTATAATAGTACCATAATCCGTCACTAGAGAGTGCAAAAATTCACTTTTAGTACCATAAACATTACATTTGGTATTTTAACAGCTTTACTTGTGGTTGGCACTCCATTTCGGGTGTGCATATGTTTACATGTTGTGTCCGAGGTTGGTTAAATCACTGTATGAGGATGTAATTGTGTGAAAAGTTTTATGTTTTAAGGGCTTTTGGAATATTTGCTCGTGTTTGTCTCTCTGGTGGGATTTCTTTGTATATGTCTGTGTGAGCTGAGTGTGTGAGTGTGTGTGTGTGAGAATATAAATGAAGATTATCTTGATTCACAAATGCCATTCAGTACATTCTAAATAATAAACATCCAAACCTTTATTGTTGAATTATTGACCCATTTTCTTGTCTTATTTGAGGTTTGAGGGGAATCATTTCCTGTCCTCTTGTCCTAGGAATACTATTGACTATAAACTGAGTTTGCTTGTATCATATCCCCCTATTGAGCATATTGTCGTCAACAGTTGGCTGTGGTTGGTGACAACTCCTTCCACGCCCTTTCAGTCTTCTCTGCTTATCGTTATGTTCCACAGAGGCAGCCTGGGCATCAGGTGTTGCTGATAAACTGTTGCTATGGCCGCCTTCAGAGCAGATATTTAAAGCGAAACTAGACTGCTTCACACAGGAAGGAGAAATCCAAACTAACTGCTCTCAAATGCGCAACTCGAAATATTGATCTTTCTTGAATTTTCGCTGGTCTGTTTATTTTTTTCCCTTTATTTGCAACTTACTGATATTTACTGATGATTTTATAGAGGGATTCCCACATTATTGCCCCCTCTACTGCTTACAATTTACAGATCCTAGAGATCTGTTGTGGTTGTGAAAAGCATCAAAACCTAAAATTATATTTACCAAAATTTTATAATTCTACACCAATATTCAAAGCCAGATGTTTCCAAACAGGATGTTGCTGATGAGCTACTCATGCTGTACCTAGTAAAGAATGAGTTCCTAGTTTGATTCATGGTATTCTCATTAAGTTAAATTTAAAAAGAATCTCTAGCTTTTTACATCTATTATGTTATTATTACCAATCTGGCATTCAGACATTTAGCACAAGGAATAATAAAATTATAACATATGTACATACAATTGAAACGAATCGCTTATTTTCTTGCTGTTTGGTTTTCAAACAAAAAAACATTTCTAGTTTTAGGTCAGTAAGAATTACTGAAACAAATTCCATTAGTTAACTCCTAAAATCACTAGATGGATATTTTGTAAAATCAGCAGTATATTACTTATTTGAAATAAAAAGCTCAGATAATCATTTAATGCCTATTAAGGCTTCTAAAAAGACAAGATGCTGTGTAATAACATTTCTTGGTATCCTATACAATGACAGCTTTTTTTCTCCTATGATGTCAATCTATAAGCTGACTGACTCATAAAGCTACATTAAATTTACAAAATAAAGAGTTTTCCATGAAAATTAAAACTCAGAAAAAAGCAAGCATGAGTAGACTTATCATCTTAGTGTCAAATTAAAGGTGTATTCCACTCCTATGAACAAAGATTTCATTAATCAAACTATTTTCAAACTATATTCTATTGTAAGTTGATTTGACGATAATTAAAATCAGGTATTTTAAATTTAGAGTCGGATGTAACTTTTTTCCCTTGTTTGCCTGTTGTGAAAAATTTGGGAGAAGTACTGGCAAAGCTAAATTAATCTGAGAAATAGTGGATAGATTATCTAGTGTTCTATATGTCTTTAATTTTAATAGAAAAAGGGTTGCAACGTTGCTGTTGGATACTTAATATGTTTATATACGAAATACAAAAAACATGTTTGATTGTTTTGGGGATTATTTACAATATCTTATTCTTATTGGTTTGGACAATCAGTCCATGCTTCAGGTCTTTTATTTTGAAATCCAGTCACAGCCTTAGGAATTACTTTTCTGTTTTCACTGGAGGCGTTTCCCCGCCCCTTTTCTAAACTCTGTAACTTTTTTTTATCAATGATTTACTGGGTCAGACTCTACCTGCTGACCTTCCCTCATGTTTTAAAAACAAAAAGCGTGTCTGAGGTGCCTCAGCCTGCTGCAGTCCTGGCAGAGCTCTGTTTTCACTCTCCTCCAGAGTCCTAAACCAGCAGCAGAGGGTCATCTCACTTCACATCTTCTGCAATCCAGGTAGGCAAACTAAAAGGTGCAATTTCTAATAGACGGAGTCTTTTCATTTCATTCTCACATGACAATTATGTTTTTGGGACAACAAGATAAACTAACATTAAATTAGTATAATACAATAAAACTTTTGTTAGTTTATGCCTGTATGTTATCTGTACTTTTTGCATTTTTGTAATAGCATATCCTCTCCTAATTCTTTTATATATTAAAACCATTTCTAGTATTTACAGTGTTACACATTTTTCATTTTTATTCACCTAAGACATGCTTATCACACTTTTGTTTATACATTATTATTAGGGTTGATGGTTTTCTTTACAATGCTTTAGCATTACAGACCCTGCTTTATTTCCTTACATATCTTACAAGAAGTTTGTAATACTCCTATTGTTTCGTTTTTTCAACTAGATGTTCCATTAGATACTTTTTTGTGAGGGGAGATGATTGGTTTGCCAGAGTTTATCTGTGGAGGATTAAAAGAGTGTAATCAGAGCAAAGAATCAATATCTCCATAACATAGCATAACCTCATTACATTGTGCTTTTATTTTTATATTTATTTCACGTATGCACAGTTTATAAGCTTTTTAGGTGACTTGCATTTAAAGCTATGTATTGTGCATGCTTCCAATAGATTTTATCATTTATGTTTGTAATCTGCAAGGTTACAAAGGTCCAGACTGAAGGTAATCATTAACTCCCACTGCCTCCCTAAGATGGCAGTCACATCTTCGGATGACTTCCTCATAACATGTAAACAAATTCTGTTATTAGAAGCAACACTGGTTTCATTAGGTCAAGCTCATCTTTCTTTATTTACATTATTATCGACTGGCAAGAACACCGTGTACCATGCCTCCATGTAGTTGGAGGTATTTGCTGAGCCTCTGTTGAGGGGGCTTCTGAAACAGAGCCAAATAGATTTGACTTTGCTTCACTGGCCCCTGCCACCTTCATTGTTTTGCTTTGGCAGCAAAGTAAGGCTTAGTGAGCAGATATTTATAGTACTGTGTAAAGGTATTTGCTTCCTCACAGATTTCTTCTGTTTTTGCCTTTTTTAAATGTAAGACCCAAATGTTAAAGCTCATAAAATCAACTCTATTATCAGGCAAGATAGCCTGAGTAAATAGAAAAAAAGCTTTCATTTACAATACAACCTAACCTCTCCTAAACTGTAAATATATATAATAAAGTATACATTTAATAGCTTAGTGGGGTTTCTCCCCAGCCTTTTTATTGCTTATCTGTAAAATCAAGAAATCCTTAAATTAGAACCACTCTGATAACCCTAAGTGGCTACATCTCAAAAACTAAAACCTTGTAACTCTTATTTATTTTAAGTCCTGAAAAGTCATTTAGAGCTGAAAAGGATTCAAATGATCTCTGTCTGAGCTTTGGTACTTAAATGTGAACAAAATTAGAAAAACACGGGTGATTCTTCTCAGGGGTTGTGGGGCCTACAGGAAATGCTTCAAAGGGAGATTTAAAAAAAAAAAACTCTAAAATGGCTCCAACAAAAACAGAGGTCAAAGCTGCTCCACAAGGTGATTATAGAGAA